ATCGTCTTCCACAGCCGATGCAAAACTGACGATGCATCACGATATATAATTTCTAATATCGCCCAGTCCTACTCACAACTATTCTTGTTAGTTTAAAAGTTTTATTAATGGTGCAAGTCAAATATATAAATATGCATTATCTTCAATATTGAAATAAATTTAAGAACAAGAAACACGGAGATAAATTAAAGTATTTAAATAAAATCGTAGTTTAATCGAGTGCTTTAGATGCTAATATCCTTTACAGAATTAGAAAAGTTTTCCAAATCTTGTAAAGATAAAATGTCCAAACATTTTATGGAATTAAAATAAAACAAATAAGCAAACGATTAAAGAATTCGTAAATTCATTCATGAAAATTCATTCAAAAGAAAACGATAAGTTCATCGTTAAAGTAATACAGTTTACTTTATTGCCGCAGCAGGGCGCTCTACATATTTATTCGGAATAAATTTAAAAATCGGAATAAAATAAAAAAGCGTCGCGTTTTTTCCATAATTTAGCATAAAAGAGAAAACTCTTTATATATTACTTATCCGTAGTATTTCTATAGGTATCATCAGTTTAAAATACCTGATATTACCTAATAAAGATTGATCGTAAAATTGAATAAGAATATATACTAGAACTAGATACTAAGTTTTTAAAATTTTAACGTACATATTAAAATTTTTTTAAATTTTAATTTTTAAAAAGAATGTATACTAAACAATTTGAGAAAAAAATACAAGACATTAATTCTTATCTATTTCAGTTACAAGGAAAAAAAGAACAATTTTCACATAACTTAACTCAAAATTGTTTAAAGAAAAAACACGGTTTTTTATTAAATGTCTGATCACTGTGCCTGCCTAGTGCGGATACAAAAATTTAAAGTGATCCAAAAAATATTTTAAAAAATGAAAGCAAGTACATAAAAGAAAAATGAGCGAAAAAAATAATAATGGAAATCACGTGTACAAATAGGTAGCCGAAATTTCCGTAAAAATTATTATTTCCGAATTTTTTTTTCTTCATAATTTTAGTATTTGGAACAAGACTTTAATGTTAATTATGCTACCTTTTATCATCGTATATATCGTATCGAACAAATAATAAGACCTGGACTGATGATGCACCGCCAGAAATCAAACACAAAAATTCTTCTTTTTTTTAAAAAAAAAAACTAACACAGAGAATTTCTTTTTGCTGTGTATTTAAAGAAAATGCAAACGTTTGTTTTTTCTTGCAAAATAGAAAACTTTTCAATTAATCATTGAAAATAGTGAAATTTGTGCATTTTTTGCGATTTCTTTTAAATATTCTTACAGGAAAAATTTCTAAATTTTCAGCTCTATATGAGGATTAAAATGTTTTATTTACATTTCAAGTATTTTTTTGTTTCTTATGGCTTTATTAGGAATTCAATCCAGAAAATTTGACAGCTCACTGCATCACAAAAGAGCAGAAAAATAACAAAGAAACAATTCAACAATTTAGGTAAAGTGAACAAAAAACATTTGAAATTTCAAGTATTTATCATTTACTCAATTGATTTTAATCGAAAATATTTTTTTTCTTCAAATATACATTACCATGCATCAATTTTTGATTCTTTATCATCCGCTGCCTTTTGTCCCTATTAGAAACTTTTAAGATAAAACTTTTCTTGAGTTATTTTGCTGTTAATTTCACAGCAGTTAGCATTAACATATTGTTACAGTAAACATGTTGTTACATTAAATAAAATGTTAGAATTATTCAGTTAAAAGATTCAAAATTTTTAATTTCCATAATATTTTTTATAAATTATTTAACGGCTCCTTTTTATATGCAGCTCTAGGCTAGTTATTAGGAATAGTTGCCACTGGCTATCTAAGTCATCAAAAAAGGCAGCCATTTTTAGATAAGTGTACACACGACATAAGGGTTGTTGCTTTAATATATTCTTTTGGAAAAAAATGAATTTATTTGAAAATAATAAGTTTTCTTATTAAATCATCACTTTTTATTTTAATTATTTTTAAAAATATAAATTTCTGCTTCACAACATACTAAAAATTAATTTACATTTCTTTAAAATTGTATAATTAAAGAATATTTAAATAATGCAGATGGTTATCAATTCAAAATGTTTGCAAACTAAAGATAAAGTAAATAAATAATTGTAAAATATATCAACGAACTTGGTCAACGAAACTGCAAAAACACATGCTAAGAAATGCCACGTGAAAATCTGTAGCTATAATGGGTTACCTGCAAGTGACGTAATGTATCTCGATCCTGATTGGTTGTTGAAACGTGACATTTGTTTACGTTAGCAACTGTTCTTTCCAGTCTACTTCGAGCAAACTTAGCCCGTCAAGTATCAATTCTCTTAAGTGACACATTCTATATTCTTTCACAAATATTGCAATTCTTTAACTATATATTTCTTGCTTAACACAAAGACAGGCATGAAACCATGCAGAACATGAGCAAACTAATTATACATGGAAGTTGCCACGTACACAATACAAAAATATATACCGATTACAATAAAATATATGAACAAATAATAAATTTAAGTTAAGTAAAAGATGTAGACGAGGAAGA